AGAGGTAAATTGCCTATTAATGCTTTGGGAAAACAAGTAGAGTTGCCCATGGAAGTCAGGCTTCTTATTAGTTCACTAGAGGCCCGGTGCACGGAATGCATGCACTGGAGAGGGTGTGTCCCTCAGCCAGGCCTGCGCCCTCTCGCAGTCTGGGATATCCCTCTCACAGTCCGGGACCCCTTGCTCCTTACTGCCTGCCTGCTCACTGCTCCTTACTGCTCGGCTTGCTCCTCCTTACAGCTCGGCTCAGTGCTCCTTAGCACTGCCGCGGAGGTTGGGGAGGGTCCCGCCACCGTCACTGCGCTCGCCAGCGTGAGCCAAGCTTCTGGCTGAGCAGTGCTCCCCTTGTGAGAGTGCACTGACCACCAGGGGGAAGCTCCTGCGTTGAGCATCTGCCCCCTGGTGGTCAGTGCTCAACATAGCGACCGGTGGTTCTGGTCATTCCGCCATAACCGTCACTTAGGCTTTATTATATAGATTCAAAAATACTGGATATTTACCGTATGCTAACCATTTTTAGCCCCTGAATATACAGTTCTGAACTAATCAGACAAAGCCCTATTTCCAGCATTCTGTCTAGATGGCGTGGGGTTGGGGACTGAATTAAAATAGAGATACAATTAAAGTGGTTGAAAATAATACTTTGCAGTATTGTAACCTCTATTTGGCTTTGAGTTCAGATAGTAATATATAGCATATAAAGGCCTTAATTTTTCAGTTTTCTTGCTTGTTGGTAAAGGTACGTTTACGTAGACTGCCCATTTAGAGTAGTGCTTTAACATTACTGTGAGAAATATCCCATTATATTTTCACAAGCAATTTACTGCACATTTTTTACATTGTATTTTATAATTTAGTACTAATGTTTTAGGCCTCAATCTTCAAATCACTGGTATTTTAAATCTGGCAATGAATGTGAAATTTACTGTTTGACTTATAGGATAATTTTATTGTTACTTAAAATGCTTGTTAATATTTTAGGAAGGATGGAGTTTCCATTTTTGAGGAGTTAATGTTTAAATTATTTTGATAGCATAGTTAAGAGGAAATAGCATTCATGCGATTAAACAAATTAAAATATACTCTCAAGAATTTTTTTAATTGTTAAACTTTGTCATCATTGGGGCTAAATTTTAACCTGGTGTTCTCTTACAATATATATTAACAAGTTTAATTATGAAGTCAAATAGATGAATGAATGTATTTAGTCTAGTCAGAGTTACTTTTTGGTTTAAATGTCTCTTAATGTATTTGTAATTTGTACTATTGATGGGGGTAGTCTTGGACTGCAGGGGTTATTGTCAATGTGTGATTTTATTTTATAGAATCATCTAATGTGATATACCAATTTTTATAAGTGATATTTAGATAATTCTAATAACTGTATATTTGACAACCTATTAAAAAAAATCATTTTAGCTGTAACCTAAAATGGAAGTCTTTAAAAAATGGGAGATATTAACTTAAAAGCAGATATACTAATTCAGTTTTTGCTGTATTATGTTAATCTAATGGAAATTTCTTAAGTTTTCCTTTGTCCTAACTCAAAAAGTATGTTGGATTTCTGAAATATGTGTTAAGCCAAGAATTTTATCCATATGTTTACAACTTATATATAGCAAAAAGGAGTGTGTATAACTAACTATAGCGAGCAATATAGCTTTGTTCATATTATCTGTTTGTCAGAAGAATAAAAGATGAATTAATTTTTTTAAATGTCCAATTACTAAGTTGTACACCTGAAATTAATATAGTATTACACATGTCAACTGAAATTCTAAAATAAAGTATTTAAAAGTTTTTTTTCACAAATGGTGCTAACAAAGTTTTTCCCCCTATTTATCCTTTTTTATAGGATGATTAACAAGTGTACTAAGGTAGTATGAACATATGAACTTTTATAGACAGCACTAGTGGTCCAAAATCCCATCTCATCCCCTCTTTCCAAAGACAAAGAATCTTGCCCATTAACTATTATCCTAACTTCTGACATGCACTGACAATATTCTTTAAAAATATTATGTAAGTAAAATTATACTATACATATTCTTTTTATCTGGCTTTTTTTTTTTACTCAACATTATGTTTCAGAGATACATCCATGCTATAGGACTGATTCATTTTAATTGCTGCAGGGCAGAGGTTGCTGAACACATCCACTCATTTATACATTACCTATGGCTGTTTTCTCAATATAACAGCAAAGTTGAGACCATATAGCCCCAAAAACCTAAGACTTACTTAGCTGGTTCTTTAGAGGAAAATATACCAAAATCTGCTACAAAGCATTAATTCTCAAACTTGAATGTACAGCCCTGGCCAGGTAACTCAATTAGTTAGACAGCTCCAGCCCCACTCATATCTGCTGCTGGCCCGGCCTAGACCAAATTGCTCTGCATTGTCAGCAGGCAGCGGGAGTGGGGTTGCTGGCAGACAGGGGCCCTGTGGTTGCAGCGGGAGCACAGAGGATGGGCCGAGACCCGCCCTTGTGCCCACCGCAGCCTTGCAGCGCACAGTTCCTTTCAAGGTGCACGAATTCATGCACTGGGCCCCTAGTCAATTAATAAATTTAAAAAAAAAAAACTTTTGCCGAAACCGGTTTGGCTCAGTGGATAGAGCGTCGGCCTGCGGACTGAAAGGTCCCAGGTTCGATTCCAGTGGGAGATGTGCAGGAGGCAGCTGATCGATGTTTCTCTCTCATCGATGTTTCTAACTCTCTATCTCTCTCCCTTCCTCTCTGTAAAAAATCAATAAAATATATTTTTTTTAAAAAAACTTTAATGTATAACAGAATCACATGGAGAGCTTATTAAAACACAGACTGCTGCCCTAGTTGGTTTGGCTCAGTGGATAGAGCTTAGGCCTGAGGATTGAAGGGTCGCAGGTTGATCAGGGCACATTCAGGAGGCAACCAATCTGTTTTTTTTTCTCTCTCTGTCTCTCCACCTCCCTTCCACTCTCTCTAAAAATCAATAAAAAAATATCCTCAGGTAAGGATTAACAAAAATATAAAATAAAGCACAAACTGCTGGGACCCATGCCCAGAATTTCTGAAGTAGGTATAGGGAGGAGTCCAAGAGTTGCATTTCTAACAAGTTCCTTGGAAATGCTGATGTTACCAGTAGGGTTAAGGGGAAAACAAAACTTTTGAGAACCAATGCTGTAGAATATTTATATGCAATTTATTCCCCCATTGCACTATCAATAGACATTACAGTTACTCCCAATTTTTGGTCATTAAAAATGCTATTTTGAATATTTCTATACAAAACCTTCGGTGTGCATTTATATGCATTCTGAATGTGAAAACACAGGCTTATAAACTACACCAGTATAACCTCAGCAGATACTGCCAAAAAATTTTCTAAATAGTTGTACCAATTTATGCACCCACCACCAGTATAGGGGACTTTCTCATGCACAGTATTTATCTAATACTTGTATTATCAGTCTTTTTCATTTTAGTCATTCTGGTGAATGCTTAGTGGTATCTCATTGTGGTTTTAATTTTTATTTCCCTGATGACTAATAAAGTATGAAATCTTTTCCATGTTCACTGCTCAATTAGATGTCATCACATGCCTATCCTCCTATATAATAAAAGCCTAATATGCTAAGTGTTCGGTTGACCGGTTGGGCATTCAACCAATCAAAGCGTAATATGCTAATGATATGCTAAGGCCGCTCAACTGCTCGCTATGATGTCCACTAGGGGGCAGACAGTTGACTGGTTGACCAGTCACTATGACGTGTACTGACCACCAGGAGGCAGATGCTCCGACTGGTAGGTTAGCTTGCTGCTGGGGTCTGGCTGATCAAGACTGAACAAGACAGGCTGGACACGCCCTGGAGCACTCCCACGGTCCTTCCCTGGCTGGCCAGCTTCCTGTCTCTCTCCTCGGCCCCGATCGTGCACCAGTGGGTTCCCTGGCCTGCACCCTCTCACAATCCGGGACCCATCAGGGAATTTCAGAGACCCGGTTTCAGTCTGATCCCACAGGCCAGGCCAAAGGACCCCACTGGTGCATGAATTTGTGCACCAGGCCTCTAGTGTTTATGATAAAAACTCTGAGGAAACATTCTTCCTTGTTCTCAATCTTAGGGGGAAAGCATTCAGTTTGTTTCAATTAACTATAATACCTGTAAGTTTTTTGTGAATGCCCTTTATCAGAAAGTTCCCTAGTATACCTAGTTTGCTAAGTGTTTTTTTTTAACATATATAATTTTAGCAAATGCTTTTTTATACTTCTACTACAGTCTCTCTCTCTCTCTCTCTCTCTCTCTCTCTCTCTCTCTCTCTCTCTCTCTCTCTCTCTCTCTCTCTCTCTCCCTTCCTCTCTGAAATAGATAAAAATATTTTTTTAAATGCTTATCCTGACTATGAATCAAAAATTTATATCTGTGTATGTGAAAGTGGGGAATGAAGGAGTGGCAAACATACATGCACTTAGGTACTCACCTGCTCCAGTTTAAAGATATGCTGATTAAAGTAGTGTTGTAAACGTTCATTAGCAAAATTAATGCAGAACTGTTCAAAGCTATTATTTTCATAATCTTCAAAGCCAAAAATATCAAGAACACCAATTGACAAAGTCTACAAAGGAGGAAAAAAATTATGGTTGAAAAACTGATGCTCAAATTTATTTCATAAATAATATTTACAGTAAGAAACAAAATGCTCAAAGTTCTTTTTCAGCACTGGAGAGTAGGTTTTGGGGGCCAATGTTGAACGAAATTATACCACAAGTAAAAAGCATTTTAGTTCTCTTTAGTTTCATCTTTTTCTTTTTATCCTAATTATTTTTTTTAATCCAAAATTTTACACACATAACCTACTGATTATTCTACAGAAATGTACAAAGCAGGGACACTGGGCAGTTAACTCAATCTCAGAAATTCCTCAACTCCAAAAGACAAGAGAATGGAAATAACAGGCTATGGGAATTCAAAAAGTTACTTAAGTACTACTAGGTCACTACTGGCTATGCCTTGTTTTTATACCAAGAGGGCCATGCAATTTTTCCTACTTTGACTTCCATATTCCGATAGAATCCTGCTTTAAAAACCAAGCTAACAAGGATGTTTAATCAGCCTTGTGCAAGCTAGAAATAAAACTGAATATCAGAATATGTGGTTTCTTGAAGTTAAAAATTTTTAAATTTTTTATTTAAAAAAAACAAAAAACATTGTGGCACTAGCCCAGGGGTGGGCAAATTTTTTGAGTTGGGGGCCACAATGGGTTCTTAAACTGGACCGGAGGGCCGGAACAAAAGCATGGATGGAGTGTTTGTGTGAACTAATATAAATTCAAAGTAAACATCATTACATAAAAGGGTACGGTCTTTTTTTTTTTTAGTTTTATTCATTTCAAACGGGCCGGATCCAGCCCGCGGGCCGTAATTTGCCCACGGCTGCCCTAGCTGGTTTGGCCCAGTGGATAGAGCGTCGGCCTGAGGACTGAAAGGTCCCGGGTTCGATTCCGGTCAAGGGTACGTACCTCGGTTGCAGGCTTCCGGCCCTAGTCAGGGGCGGGAGGCAACCAATCGATGTTTCTCTCTGTCTCTCCCTCTCCCTTCCAATCTCTCTAAAAGTCAATGGAAAAAATATCCTCGGGTGAGGATTAAAAAAAAAACATTGTACAAGGATTACAATGTTAAATAGTTCTAAAAAGGATTATAAAAAAAAAAACCCAATATATTCTTCATCCTCAATTTCTGCACCCTAATATCAACAACACTCAAATTGTTGAGCTGTTTGGTATGGAATAGTATAGTATAGTATAGTATAATATAGTATAGTATACAAGTGTTTATTTTTCTATTTCTTGATATTTCACTTGTAGAAATTATCTTCTAACTACTTACTATGGATGATAGGGATTTAACTCTAATACCTCCATACCAACATTCTTCTCACCACTCCACCTCATTCTTGAAATGCAGTCGTATGACAATTTTGGTTAAATGAAAATAATTTATCTCCACTGGTGCTAAGAGAGATACTAGGCAAAATGATGTAATGAGTGATAGTGAGAGATATTTTTAAAGTTTCCATTAAGAGTATTTTGTTTGCCCTAACCGGTTTGGCTCAGTGGATAGAACGTTGGCCTGCAGACTGAAAGGTCCCTGGTTCGATTCTGGTCAAGGGCATGTACCTTGGTTGCGAGCACATCCCCAGTAGGGGGTGTGCAGGAGACAGCTAGTCAATGTTTCTCTCTCATCGATGTTTCTAACTCTCTATCCCTCTCCCTTCCTCTCTGTAAAAAATCAATAAAATATATTTTTAAATTTTTTTTAAAAAAAGAGCATTTTGTTTTCCATAAGTACCTAAATCAATAAAATTCAGATCTACTTCCTACTGTCCCCTCAAACCCCCAAAATGAAAGTATTTTGTTTGATTAGTTCTGTTGACTAAATTCTAAGCCCTTATGAAAATAATGACCTTCAAAAATAAGTTAATTTGGTAAGTTGGATTACATTTAAAATTAATATTCTGTGGGCTCACATAAAGCATGAAAAGTTCATATAAAAGCAATTTTACATTTAAAATAATCAAATTAAGTAATAAAGATGGCATTTCTTTTATCTTTTCCCTGTGTTCCAGAGCTTGAGGATAGAACCTGCAGACTGGAAGCCACCAGCACCAAAGACATGACCCCAAGAGGGCTGGTGCCCTGTCCTTCTGCCTCAGTACATTATAGGGACAGAGACAACACACCTGATCTCCCCCAGGAAAAGGAGGATTAAAGATGACATTCCTAATCAGCCTGAAAAGGTAGACTATTCATTCCATAAAAGTTGCCCTAACCCGCTTGGTTCAGTGGATAGAGCGTCAGCCTGCGGACTCAAGGGTCCCAGGTTCGATTCCGGTCAAGGGCATGTATCTTGGCTGTGGGCACATCCCCAGTAGGGGGTGTGCAGGAGGCAGCTGATCGATGTTTCTGTCTATCCCTCTCCTTTCCTCTCTGTAAAAAATTGATAATATATTTTTTTTTAAAGTTGTTAGTAAATGAAATTGAAGTTATTAATTTAAGTATCAAAAATCTGCCATGTTAAAAGTAAATTCAAATTGGAAAAAAGGTCTGAATATAAAAAATTATATTCTAAATGTATGAGAATAAATATTTTATAATTTGGGCTGGAAGAGACTTCCAATGTAAAATAAATTAATAAATAAAAAAAGTCCAGGACAATAAAAGAATGACAGAACTGTACAAAAATTTAAAACATATGGACTTCAAAAAACACAACATAAGCAAATCTTTAAAGTAAAGAGAAAATGTTTGCAATGTACGTCAAACTATAAATCTCTGCAATATCCACAATGACTCCTAAAAAGGAATAACAAAAAGATAAAATGAACAACAAAAATAGGAAAAATATATAAAGAAATAAAACAGAGAAAACATGAGATGCTCAATTTTCATCTATCATAAACATTGACAACAAAATGAACTATCTTCCTTGTCAGATTAGCCTAATGGAAATTCTGAGAATATCCAATGTGACTAAAGGTGTAGCAGGGAAATAGGCACTTTTATGCACTACTGGTGGAACTGTAGTATTTTTTTGAAAAGCAATTTAGCAGCATCTACCAAAATTTTAAACATATATATCTTTGAATCCAGCAATTCATTTTGAGGATTTTGTCCTAGAGAAATGTATGCAAAGAATATCTGTTACATTATTATTTAACAATAAAAATGTAATATATTTTTAATGGGGGAATTTATATATTACAAAGTTGATAAAAATGAGGTACACATTGGTACAGAGAACAGACTGAAAACTGTCAGAGGGAGGGGCATTTAGGGGCCAGGTGAAAAAGGTGAAGGGATTAATAAAAAACAACAAAACAGCAATTCATAGACACAGACAACACTATGGTGATTACCAAAGAAAAAGGAGGA